CCCCATATAAAACTACTTTTAAAGAGACTTCAATATCATTCCAGAACTTTCTTCTGTTTTAGAATTAAGGTACTTGAAAGTCAAGAAATAAAATTCCAATTAAAAAAGTATTTAGCATAAAAAATAAGGAAATAAAATTTAAAAAGTATTTAAAGTCCTGTTGTACAACCTTTTACTTAGAGTGGAATTCTTCCCAAAGCTCCTATCCCTGTCATCCATCACAGGTTAGAAATACTATAAAGAGTAAGGAGTCACTACCTTCCAGGGCAGCCCATCCCATTGCTGGAAAGAACTTACTACAATGGTCTTAGATCAAGTCAAAATCCTTTGCCTTGTAATTTCAATTAATTGATTCAAACATTTACTGATGATTTATGTGTCCCATAAGTTCTATGTACCATTTTAGTCTTCCTATTCCTCAACCTTAAAAGGTTGCCACCACTGTTCTTTTACATTCTTGTCCTTCAGGTACAAAAACCAAACTCCTTTAGCAACCTTTTTTCATGTTGCTTCATTTCTCAATACATCACTAATTCTTTATCTCCCTCCTTTGCCAGTGTTTCATCTAGAATGTGGTTCATAGACTTAAAAACAATTCATCAAATGTAATCTAACTAGACAATCAACAGGGAAACAGACTCAATGTAATCTAGTCATGCACTAATGAAACCTAGGATTACTCCATTTTTAGCAGCCACATTAGAAATAGCTCATATAAGCCTATGATCAAATAAACTCCTATTTTTCATCTTGTGCATTTGAGATTGCCTGTCACCCCCAAACATTTCTCAACTCTTTCAAATGGTTTATCCTTAGTATATTTTATCTTGCTCATTTTTAACATTATTATAATCTTTTAGAGTATTCTGAATCTAAAGTCTGTTACCTATATTATTAGCTATTTCTTCTAGAATTATGTCATCTGGAAATCAGACACACTTATTTCAATAGAAGTCTTCACAGAAAGAAGACACTGTGGTTTAAAATGTATTTGTGGGAACTTAAAGGACTTTATACGTTCTCTTGGCTTAATACACTAAGACATGCATTATCAACTTCTAACCTTTTCTGTGGCCTCCTCTTAAGGAGTGCTATTCAAAGGGATTCTAGGAACTATAAAAACCATTTTGGTCGCTAGGATTCACTAGTATCCAATATTTCTAAAATAGTTGATTCTCCTATGTAATAATCAACTTAATACCCAGAGGAACCAATTAACTAGAAATCAATCAACATTCTCATTAATTTTTCACTAAAGAGAAGGTCCCCCAAAACTAAGAAATATGACCAAAAACAAACTATGAACTACAACAATACTTTAAAAATAAAAGCATGAGTACCTAAGGTTATATATATAAAGATATGTGTTACATCATTGTTTGTAGTGGCAAATTAAAAAAAAAAAAAAGGGAAACATTGAATGTCCATGCAAAAGGAATTGGCTGAATAAATTTTTCTATAAAGCCACATCAAGGGGCTATTCATATTTTATTAATAATGGCTACCAAATTTATTTTATTTTTTCCATGTTGGGGATCAAACCCAAGGGCTTGATCATGCTTATGCAAGCACTCTAGTTATATCCTTAGCCCTGTTTATATTTTGAAATTGAGTCAAATCTGTATCCATGGCCTGAAGAAATACCTGATACATTAAGGATGAGAAACAAACTTCAAAATAATGTATAGTATATGATCCTACTTAAAAAACAAAACTCATAGCCTTTGTCATTATGTATGCTTCTATAGTACAAAAAAAAGTATGGAAGAAATCCATTCGAGGCTGTGAACATGGGTGGGGATTTCTGTTTATCTTTGCCTACTTAGACTTATTATAGGTAAATACTGATTTTTTTAAGCTAAAAAACTAATTGCAACTGACAACAGAAATCTATCTATACTTATATTTCACTCCCACACCCCACTCAAGTTTTCCAAATGCTTTATTTTCCAAAAAGTTTCCTATCTATGTTATAGATCAAGTTCAATTTCCTACTTGACATTTCAATGAGTCTGAATTTTTCATTGTTTGGACTCTACTTCATACACACTCTTCTGTAATAAATACAAAAACTATGGTATAGTTTAAATATGTCTACCATTCACCTTCACCAGTGATTTTTTTTTCCTACATGATTTTTTTCCTTCAGGAAAATATTAATTTAGCAGAGCCAAATATAAAAACTACATACAGCTCATCCTAACCCAATATAGAGGTGATAGATAAGCACAACAGTATGAAATACTAGGGCAAAGAAATATGAGCATAGAAGCCAATCCTGTTAATTCAGTGGTTTTCAATCTTGGCTGAACAGTAGAATTACCTGGGAAGCTTTTAAAAAAATACCTATGCTTGAGCACCACTTCTAGAGATTATAATTGAACTGGCTCTGGTATAGGTACTCACTTTGTTTCAAAAGCTAGCTAGATGATAAAAATGTGAAATTGAAGTTAAGAACCAGTTCTTTTTTTGAAAAAAAATACTTTTCAACCTTCTCCCAACTTTTTACAAAGAACATTTCCTTCATCAGTTATTTTAAGGCAGTAAATACATTTGGGAAAGCTAAAATCTACCAATAAGTTAATGCTAGTCCACCATCCATAATTTATATTATCCCCAGGTTAACTTTTGATGCTAAACTTAAAATTTCTCAAAGTTATAGTATACAATTAAGAGTCCTTCATATATCAAAAGCATATTTGTAGCCTTACCCTAATAATGATTTATAATCTATTATTAATCTGGGAGACAATGACTTTATAAAACATCTTAGGGCCCCAAATAACATGTTAGAAAACAAAAGTGCCAACATTGCTCAATCAATTACTTCAATGTTATTGGACAATCAGTCAATTAATGAATTCCAATTCTTCATGCTAACCTTTACAAGTATGTAAAAAATTCATCATCACATTGATAAAATAAAATACAACTTGAAATTTTTTCCATTCAAATTTAGTATCTGAGAACAATAATATTCCCCACAGGAAAAATGTCAACAAAATTTGAAAGGGATTCATTAACAAAATGAAATATTTATTTAATACATGTAATATTACAGCATATAAGACAAGATTCTATACTTTGGACTCATACTGCAAATTTACACAAAAATATTTTAAAACAAAGGGCATTTTATATTATTTAAAATGGTCAGCCAGCATTAAGAAATAATTGTCTATATATATCTAAAAGTGCTGACTATATAAGCATATATTTTCAAAGACACCTACACTGATGCATTAAAAAAATACTTTCACCTAGTGAGCGCATTCTTAAGCAATACAGAGGAAAATGAAAACTTACGTCTACTCAAAAACCGGCACACAAATGTTCACAGCAACTTTATTTGTAACAGCCCCAAACTATATAAACAATCCAAATGTCCCATAATGGGCAAATGGTTAAACTACAGTACATCTCCACCAGAGAATATTTCTCAGCAACAAGGACTATTGACACACACAACTAGTTATGGTTCTAAGGGTATTATATTAAATGAAAAGAGCCAACCTCCAAAGGTCATATACTGCATGATTTCATTTATATAATATTCTCAAAATGACAGAATTATAGCAATCTAGAACCGATTCGTGGTTACCAGTGGATGGATAAGGGACAGCTCTAAAGGGATAGCAAGGGGAAGCCTTGAGGTTGTGGTAGATCAATTGTTTTGATTGTGGTGATGGTTCCTCAAATCTATATATGATCAACTACACAGAACTACACACACACACACACACACACACATACATAAATGAGTGTATATAAGCTAGTGAAATCCTAATAAGTTCTGTGGATTAAACCCATGGCAATTTTCTTGTTGTGATCTCATACTTCTGCTACTTTGGGGGCAGATGAGGTAAGCAAAAGGGACATGAGATCTCTATTTGTGCAACTTCCTGTGAATCTGTAATCATTTTAAAACAAAAAGTTAAAAAAGATGGCTGGAATATTTCCAGAGTATTTACTGTGTACCCAGTACTACAGTTTATCTCATTCAACTTAATAAACAATAGATGAGGTAGATACTAACTAATATCCTCACTTTTCAGATGAGGAAACTGAAGGACAAAGAAGATAAGAAATTCAATCAGTCACAAAGCTGGTTTTCTTGAGAAAACTTCAAGAGAGTTTAAGAAAAGTAGGATAATTCTGAAGCAAAGATTTTAAGAAAAATGGTATTTTTGCATCAAGAAGGAATTTTTAAAGAACCTTAAAATAGTGAGAGAAGGTGAAATGCTATAGAGCTAAATCTTTAAAAACCTATATTCACAGCATACTATGCTAAATATTATGTCTTCCAAGAATCTAAAATCCATAATGTACCTTAGCCTAGGATACCTGAATATGCTTGACCTGAGATGCATAAGAAAATGGTTATTTTTATTATTCTTTCAACTTTCATTCAGAAACAAGAAGAAAATTAACACATGATTTCTCTTCTTAAAAGATGTTAATTGAATGGGAGTAGATAAAAGTGAGCCAAAAATCTGAAATAACTTAAAGAAAGTACTCCAAATGGAAGAAAATAAAACTGACTGACTATAACATAGCCTACTGATGAAAGAAAACGGCAAGACAAAGGAAAGTCAACAGTTATCAAATGCAAGGTAGAAGAGTCTAAATCAGATTAAAAACATGAATCTGCATGTACTAAATAATATCAGCAAGCAAAATAAATGTCTATTTGCAGCAAAACAATTTTAAATAAAACCATGCAGACAAGATTGGTTTCAGTCTCACACAGAAAAAAGCAAAAGAAAAACTTCTCTTTTTCACCCCATCTCCAATTTAAATCATTGTATATTTTAACAACATGTCAAAAACCAGAGGCAATCCCAGGATAAATTCAATGGATTATTAAGAAGTTTGTTACTCTGGTTGTAAAGCCTCTGAGACAGAACTGTTTTTGTAGAGAGAAATAGCATCTCATTTAATTTGAAAGATCAAGTGAAACCCCAAGAAGGCAATATTGAACATTGGGAAAAATTAATCACCCTTTTAAGGTGTAGACAATCTAGTAATCCACATAATGTGCTGCTTGAAGAGAGTAAGTGCTGCCTGGTCCGCCCTTGGGATCACCTCTGATATCAAGGATATTCCTTCCTTTCAAGTCTTCTTAATAGCAAATGCAAATGCTGTTATGACATCAATATGTTGTTTTCTTAGAAGCATTGTAAAATCCCAACTCAGGATATAGCAGGCAGGAATCTTAACTTGACATTCAAAAATATTTCCACGGTGGATCTGGAGTGGAATGGCCATACCACTGTACTCCCATCCATGGCTTCAGTTAACATGAAAAATCTGAAAAATAATTCTTGTCATCATAGGTCCTTGGAACTTCGTCCTCACTCAAATAGTTAAGATGAAAAAAGCATATACATATAGTTAGGAGACATCTGTTATATATTCTTTAAAACTCTCTACTTCTGAAGGGCTTGTCTAAGAGGTTAATTTGTTTCTTCCAGGTAAGACCCTCAGACATCAGACTTTAAGAAAATCCAGGCCATTCTGTCTGGTGGACAGTATCTTTAATTTCTGGGAGATTATACCAAGGAACTGTATTTCCACTACTGTCAGATTCTAATCTATAGTAAACATAAATTTTGGAAGTTTTCGTAACTAAATATCCTCCTTGAATAGGAATATTTTTAGGTGTGGTAATGAGATGCGGTTATGCTTTGAGAGAAGATTTTCCATTCTGAATATATTACTTATAAGTGAAGTGATTTAATATCTGATATTTGCTTCAAAATAATATGTGGTAGAAACTGAATATGAGTTTTTAACAAGATTGGCCAAAATCATGATAAAGCTGGGTGATAGGGATATGGAATTAATTATACAATTTTGTCTTCTTTGGTATATGTCTGAAAATTTCCAACATAGAAAGTTTGTATATTCTTCCTTGTATAGGATATAAAACATACCCATATAATAAAGAATCCTGAGAATTGTGCAGAAATCCAGATTCTCTGAAAGCTTCCAGGCCAAACATCTCATCTAGTAAGTTTCCTATTTCTAAAATGCAGGACTAGGACATGATGATTTCTGTAAGGTCACTGTCTTCAGAATACTGGGTTTGTTTTCACCCTCTGTTAACTGTATATAGCAACTGATTCTACATTGAGATGGCACAGGTCTTGAGATAAGGTGTGATGTCAAGCAGCTCAAGAACCACAGGTATCACCATCAGCTCTGATCACAAGAGGAAAAAAAAAAATAGGGAGCTAAGTGACTACAGTCATTTGGGGAAAAAAATGTATTTTCCACAGGTATGGTGAAAATGATCACTCTTCAAAAATCTGCTTAAGATATATTTCAGTCTCATATCACATAAAATGTAAAATGGCCAGACCCTTTAATACAATAACTTTTTCCTGAATACAATATCTAGACAATATTATCATAAATGTCTTCTGAAGACTGCCTATCAAAGTACTGTTTATAATAGTGAAAAAATCTGATACCTAAATTACCACCAAACCAGATGGTTAAGTAGGTTATGGTACATTCTTACAATGGAACTCCATGAAGCTGTTTTAAAAATGAAGATATAAATCCATAATCATAGGGGTATGGCAAAGGGACACAGGAACCAACAGAGCTCTGAATGGCCACAGCTATAAAAATTTGAGCAACAATTTTGGATAACCCAAAGTATAAATAAATATCCATTAGTCTATACTGACATAACTGATTTAATAAGTAAATGACAGAGGATAGATAAATCTCCTGGACAGAAGAAATTACCTGCGCAGAATAATTCCAAATAATGTATGTAGATACTCTGCCCTAACTGTGGGTTGCCAAGAGAAAACATGTAAAAGGGAGAAAAAAGGGGAACTTCATAGTGGGAAAAATCTGACAAACACTATTCCAGCAAGGTCATTAAAGTCAAAATCAACATTCACCTTTGAAATGAAGTGATGAAAATGTCCTTTTACCTATATGATCTCCCTACCCCAAATTCCTAACTCTAGTCTAACCATGTTTCCTCCAGGAAGACTAATACAAGTCTTAACTGAGAAACATTCTACAAAAACATCTGGCTAATGCATCTCAAAACTGTCGAGGTCATAAAAAAAATAAGTCTGAGAAACTGCCATAGACAAGTGGAATCTAAGAAGATATGATGACTAAATGTGGCATGGTTTCTTGGGATCAGATACTGGGACAGAAGATCTGAGGTAAAAATTAAGGAAATCTGAATAAAGTAAAAACTTTTGTTAATAATAATGTATTGATATTTATTCATAACCTTAATGTAAAATGTTAATAATAGAGGAAACTGGATGTGGAGTATATCAGAACTCTTTATACTATCTTTGCAACTTTTTTGTAAATGTAGAACTTTCCTAAAAGAGGTTATTTTTAGAAAGTGAGATTTTATAAAAAATATTTTTAGTTGTAGGTGGACACAATTTCTTTATTTTATTTATTTATTATTATGTGGTGTTGAGGATTGAACCTAGTGCCTCACACGTGCTAGGCAAGTGCTCTACCACTGAGTTACAACCCCAGCCCCGGAAAATATTTTAAATGAAGATATAGACTTATAATATCATCGAAGTGTGGCCAAGATAAAATAAAGAGTTATAACATGTATATTATGAACCTATTTGCTTTGAAAATATATGCATATGTATTTATAAATCAAAAGTCATGAAACCAGGCTGGCAATGCAGCTCAGTGGTAGAACACTTGCCTGGCATGCCTGAGGCCCTGGGTTCAATCCCCAGCACCACAAAAATAACACCAACAAAAAAGTCAGGAAACCATATATCCAAGATGTTAAACTCTGATGGTAGAATTATTAGTGATTTTCACTGCTTCTTTATTCCTTTCTGTGTTATCTGTTTTTGGTTTTTCATTAAGCAATGACTACTCTTAACACTGAGCCTCATTACTTCTAAAATCAGGAAAAAAAGTTTGTTTTGCTTTCTTTTCTTTTTGGGAAAAAAAATATGTGTATAAAACAGAATTAACAGAGTACTCCTTAACACAAAACAATATGCATTTATAAGACAGCCAAATTTTTAAAGGTAAAAGTTTAAAAAGTTAATACAGAAAAGTGATTGAAAGACTGGGATTTCATTAAAGTCCTGGTTTCATCACTTACTGTCACTGGACAGTTGCATAGCCTTCCTCAATTTCCTCATTTATTCAATGTTCTACAACAAACCTATTGATCTGCAGAACTCACCTAAATTTTTTTTTTTTACTTATCCATATAAACATATATTGTACATTATATATGAACATGTATATTTCTTTACAATAAATTTTATTAGAAAATCACATAATAGCAAGAATTAAGGTATGCCATGAGCCTGACCATACAGGTGACTATTATTGTTGGCAATATTAATTTTAAAAAAATCCAGGTACAAGTAAAACACTAAGAGGAAAAAGTTTCTCAAAGAATGTAACTGGGAGCAAAGACATAACCAGTACCTCAGCTCATTCTACTCATCTGCAGAAATTTCCCAAACATTTCTGCAAGCTAGACATTCATTGTGGCAATTAAACATGCTATTGTTCACATGACCACAGCACTACTGAGAATCTTCCAGTGAACACAAATAGGAGCCACTTTTCATAATCAGCTTAAACTAGCTTTCAAATATTAATGCACATTTTTCCTTCTATGGGAATACAGATTACCTATGAATATAATGTCAACATAAATTAATACCAGCCATAAAATACATACTAAACTTATTTAAACCTCTAAGTTATAAATAAAACTTTTTAGAAAGCAGTTTTAAAAGAAACATATATTTTTAACTTTATTAAAATCTTGAGTTAGTATTCTAGCTCAATATTGTCCTCCCTCAGTAGGAGGGATATCAAAATCTGCAGATGGTCAAGTTCCTTATATAACATGGTATAGTATTTGCACACATCCTCTTATGTATTTTAAATATTTAGGTTACTTAAATACCTAATACAATGTAAATTCTATGCAAATAGTTGTTATATAGCTTAGGGAATAATGACAAGGAAAAAAATCTATACATGTTCAGTACAGAAACAATTTTTTATTTTAAAAAATATTTTTTTTGGCTGGGGATGTGGCTCAAGCGGTAACGTGCTTGCCTGGCATGCGCGGGACGCTGAGTTTGATCCTCAGCACCACATAAAATAAAAAGATGTTGTGTCCACCGAAAACTGAAAAATAAACACTAAAAAAATTCTCTCTCTCTTTAAAAAAAAAAAAATATATATATATATATTTTTTATCTAGGGTCAGCTCAATCTGTGGATATGGAACTACTGGATATGGAACCAGCAGATACAAAGGGTTGACTGTACTGATATTTTAAAATTACCCCAATTATAAAACTTATATATAGAAAACTACAATAGATTAATTCAATCACACTATGAATTTTTTAAAGGCCAAACAACCCAGGGTAGAAGAATAATTTTTACCTAACCTGATATATCAATATGGTCTAGGCAACAGATCAAAAATCGGGTAACTTAGTAAGATAATCAAACACAAAATAATATTGAATGATTATGCCAATTTCTTCTACACCAGAAATGTAAATTGTTCAGTCGGGGTCTGTTCAAGAAACTGATTTAAATAATATCTTTTAAAGTAACAAAAAAAGTAACTTTGCTCCAGTCTCAAAAACATATACATACTCCAGGAAATACACTCAGGTTGGTATATATATAAAAACCTAAAGCCACAACCGTATGAAAACTTTATGTAATTTTTACTCCAAATTTCTGGAAAGTAGTCATTACAAAGACCTATTCCAATGATGGTGACATTCTTCCTGCTAAACTGCCTTTAGAAGTGTGTGGTACATTTTTTTCAAATATGCTCAACTGCTACAAATTTTAACTTCTTGGAGAATGCGCTTCAGTTATGAGGAGACACCAAAGTCACTGAAAGATAGCTAAGTAGATCAAGCTAAATAAACTTTTGGTTATGAAAAAGAGAATGAAAAGAAAAGGGATTGATTATAAGGTACTACTGCAAAAGCAAAAACTATAAAATGGGAATTCTAAGCATTTTTGAGCAGCCACATTATCTCTGTGGTTCCGAGTTAACTCCCCAAAAAGAATTTTCTTTTTTCCTATTCCATGTTCTGTCCTGGCTGTTTTTTCTCCAAATTCTAAACAATAACTGAATAAGGGACCATACTGGCATCTCATACAGATTATCTCATTTAATCTATATGTCAACACTACTAGATAATATCATTTTACAAATGAAGAAACTGAGGCTGAATGTTTTGAATAACTTGTCTGATCCACACAGGTAATAAGGGACAAATTACTACCTCACGTTAAAATGTATATACATTTACCAAGTATACACTTATATTCCTGATTTTTTTTTTACGTTTCTGAACTCTGATCCCTTAGCTTGTTACTATAAGAGCATTTGCCACATATTTTTTTTTCGGTTTAAAAATAAGAATTACATCTTCATATGTAGACCTTTGGTTGCTATTACAATCATTCACTTATTAACATTCCCTACTCAATTATAGCTTCCACAGACAGTAGGCCATTCCTTATTCATCTCTACAGTCCCAAAACACAGAAAGACTTAGCATACCTATGAATTCCTTGTTAGTAACCTAACTGTGGTGCCGAGGACGAGCTGCTAAAGTGTGGAGACTCTCTCTGCACCATTACTGGACACTTAGTTGTTCTCTCAGCTCCCAGATACCTGACCACCACCGTCACAGGGAGGGCTTAGGCAAAAAGAGTATTCAATATGACCAGTTCCTAGTTGTAGGGATATTCTTAATATCTTATTACCATGATATGTGATATATAGTTTTTCTTTAAGTTGAAGAACTACACTCAAATCAGTCAGCCTCTAACAGTTCAAACACATTATAAAAACCAAATTTCAGCACATTCATAAATAAGAACATACAGAGGAATAATGGAAAAATAGGAGAAATGTAAATCAACAAACAGTATAAAATAAAGCCTCCCCACAAGCTATCTTTTCATTATAATACAACTAGAGTTCTAAGGGGCAAGACCACACAATTTATGTTTTCCCACACATGAAACTAGAGTCAGTTGTTAATAGCACTTTGGGAATGTAACAGTATAATTACAAAATGACACAAGTTAATATTTAAGGAGACATCATGTCCTTCAAAAATAAAAGGAACAGTTGCAAGATTAAGTCTTTTTTTTTTTTTTAACAATAAAGTTCTTAGAACTTAAAAGGAAATGGAAAAACAATGCAATCATAAAACTAGTTAATGAAATTACTGGAACTTTTTATTCTTTTAGGGGACGTTTTACCTAATAAATGTTAAAGCTGTGGTTTCAGTTTTCTTTCCATTTCTAAAAACTCTTAATTAATAGAGTCCTTTTCTACTAGTACTTACCTTTCTCTTTCTGTTCTTCCCATGCCCCACCCCAAACTTGATTTGGCTATTCTTTAATCTTTTAAAAAACAGGAGTAATAAATTCTCCAACTCTTGACAAAAGAGTTAAAATGACAGTACCATATGACTATCTGAACTCTTGAAAGGAGTATTAATCTTCTAGAATACCAATTTAATTCTTAGAAGCAGAAAACACAGGAAGCTTAATGTTCTAAGAAAAGTTAATAATAATTGATTCATTCTGGCTACTCAGGAAATACTCGGCAAGGATCTGTGTTCTATGCAGAGACTGACAACAAATCTATCTAGTAATAGCTATCACACAGGGACAAGGGAAATAGAAAAGAGCTCATGGAGTAAATGCACAATGACTAAAAAGTACAGGAAGAAAATATTAATTTGGTGCTGAGAAGCAACAGAGCTAGATGACACAGAGGACAGATCAGTAAGCTACACAGACAGAAATAAATCCAAGACTGAGGTGCTAGAGGAAATGGACCATCACAGGGGATGAGAGTAAAGTACAAGTGGACAAGAGGTAAAACAGGCAGGAGCCAAAGATGACAGGTGCTGAGTTATAAGAGATAACACAAAAGACTGAAAGTAGCAGATGGGGAAGGAGGTATACTCATCTTAAGAAAGGGTAAAGAGAAGAGAAAACATTTTCAATGGGAGGCTAAATTGTGGAAGTAGGCAAATAACAAAGAAATCAATCAAGAAATTCTAGACAGAAGAGGGTAAAAATGTGGAAGTGGGACAAAGTAGTAAGTAGATAGGACAGAAGATGAAAGAATTAAAAGAATGAAGTAACAAAAACAGGCCTAATGGGGAAGGAAATAGTAAAGCTAAACAAATGCCTTATGGAATTTTGCTTCATTAAATTTTGTTCTTTTTCTTCCTATTGGGTAAAACTTGATTCACAAGAGCAAAAACTTTCCTTAATTTATAGAAGAGAAAATTATTGATACTCATCATCAATTATAGGGGCATAACAAGTAAAAAAAAGAAAATATAATTTATATCAAGTATTGTTAACGCTAGCCAACAACCTAATTGTATCTATACATTAATGACCTTACTGACGACTGTTTCATTTAGTTAGAAAAGCTTTCTTTCTCTTTCTATGCATTTGGAGAAATCCCTGTTCCTTACTGTCTCCATCAACACACAAAAGGCAAGGGTAAGAAGGTAACACATCAACATCACTAAAAGAAGTTTGATGGAAATTTAATACAAGGGTTAAAATATTTCACTTGCTTTAAATTTTTACCACTCATTATTCTGGTTTTCCAGACAGATACTGCAAAACAGAAATCACCTTTCATTTCCATTTAGAAAATAAGAGCAACAACAAAACACTGAATGAGAACATAAAAATAGAAAAGAGCAAAGCTGAAAAGAATGGAAATTATTCTATTCTTGAACCTGAAAAATAATTGGGGTAGAATAGCAACCAAAGGTTTACATATGAAGATGTAATTCTTATTTTTAAACTGAAAAAAAAAATATGATAATCAGACCATCTGTGCCAAAAACTTTTTCAAGAAAAAAAAACAGGCATCTACAAAGGCTTGGAGAAGATAAAAAAAGATGAAACTAAAGTCATAATGAATACGAACAAGAAGCAGCACATCATTATATAAAGAAACAATTTATCCACACTTCACACCCTTTAGTGACTATTTGATAAGAGTCAATTTCATAAGGGCCTAAATTCCACCAAATGGTTCCTATTTCCCCTAATGTCATTTCTCTATCTACACAGGAAAAAAAACAAAAACAAAAACAAATCTCTGATCATAAGCAAATTACCAGCTATTACCTAATGGAAAATAATACACAAAAAGTGTTAACAAAGATAATGTAAGACACACATAAAGAAATGTGCTAGAATCTTGTCATTCCTATTTTCAGAACTATCTTCTTTCAGCTGCTCAAAAATCCTAAATGGTATTGGAGTTGCTTCTTGAAATGTAATTCTTCAGTTTTTTTACCATATTCTTCCACAAATATTTTAATGAGTCACTGGGCCATTCAGTCCACTCACAGGCATCTGACACATAATTTACTTCTGGAAATGGCTGCCACTCCAACAGGCTTTGGAAGGCTTCTTGAAGAAATAAAGCTGGTCTGTTGGTCTCTATTGAGGACATGCTGAAACTAGGATTATCTCTCATATTCAAAGATGACAAAGAAGCCAATGGTACTCTGTTTCCAAGGTAAGATGCCTTAAAAAAAGAAAGAGTTAAAAATCAACCAGATTAAAAAAAATTCTAATAATGCCATGCAAACTCTTACACAACATTATATTTTAGGTGATTAAAAAGTAAATAATTCCCAACAAGAAATTTTAATGTTTCACTTCAGCTTTAAAAATACAATTAGGAAAAAAAAAAAACTTTTTAAAGGGTACCACAGGATAGACAGTCAAAATATTATAAATAATCAATAATTCCTGAAAATAATAATAAAAAAAAGCACTGGTTACACTGGATGGAAATTCTGGTGATAGCCTTTTCAATCTTTACGATGGCCTGATCAGAAGACAAGATTTTGACAAAATACTACTTTTCTGCCTTTGTATATTAGTTGGACATAGTATGCCCAAGCATGCTTTATATTCGGCTGTAAAATGAGCTATGGAATTGATGACCTGAAAAGTAGGCAATTTGGCTCTTCAGAGCCAAAATTCTGGAATTAAGTACTATCTAGCCATAAAATTTTGGTACAAATGAACTAGCTCTAGGTAAGTCATTTAACTCTGCCCTGATTGTCTTATCTATAAAATACAGGGCTAGTTCTTTTTACAGGCAGGAGAGGCACTAGAATCACCTCAAGATGGTTTACAGACACACAGGTCCGATGCAGCCTTACTGAATCTGAATCTCTGAGGTAAAGCAAAGAGACTTGTAAATTTTATAATAAATCCTGGGTCACTATGATGTACACTCCTGGCTAATATACTAGCTATGTTTAGGGTCCAGTTCTAGAACCTAAAATTCATAAAATGGGATAGTAAAGATTTCATGAAATTATCCTAGTATCATTAAAGGGAGAGACTGAAAAATCAAGTCTTATGTGCCAAAACTGGATGAATACTTCCATACAGATTATTTTAACTCAATTTTTCCAAATTAGTTCCTCAGATATTAAAACAGAACACAAACTTTGGGGCAGTATTTTATAATAACTTACTTCTACGTAAGCCATCACATGTTAAAATGATAGCAGCATGTCAGTTCTTCACTGTCTCAAATTATGAAGCAACCCCCAAGAACAAATGACATAACATCCTTCCCAGTAGAAATGATTTATAGTACAGAGTACTATACCTGCAAAGTGTGTGTCCACCCTGGCTGCTAACCAGGTTTGTGGCCCATGCTTCATTCAAGGGCACTTCCTCCTCTGATTCCTGGACAGCGGTGGGGTGATGTGTGCACTTCCCTAACTGTGGAGTCATTTAGATTCAGTGATTGCTGATGCCCGATGTCCCCCAAATTATATTGTCAGTTCCAATAAAAGGAATATGTAATTGGACTTTCAGAGAATATAATTTTTTCTTCATCTTGCTGGGTTTTGTTTGCAGCCCTCATCTAATTGCACATGGCTTCCAACTGACTTTACTCCAGGCCTGTCACCAAATCAACAGCACAATTTTACATTTTTTTGCACCAAAAAAAAAAATATATTACATGGTTAGAAGTCTACTAACCAATAGTGTTCTCTATTATAGCTCAATACAAGCTGAAAAAGTTGATCAAAATTCCATGAAAGGACAAAGCAAATGGACAAAAAAGGAAACCATCAGTAACACCCACATCATGATAAATTATTAAGATTTTAAATCCAGTAAATGTTTAAAGAAAAAAAAAGGCAGTAAGATATCAAATGTTGCCTAGTATTATTTTATTTGGCATAAGTTTTTCAACACTACATTTCTAACAAAGTCATTGTCCTAGGTTCTGGTGAATCATTATTCTAGAATTCAATAGCTGTAAAGAATTCAATTCCTTACTCAGCTTTGAGATACAAAATTCTCTCCCTGTCTTTAGTCATTTCCACACACAGTGTTCCCTTGACCAATTCATCATCAACCTCTTCTATATGGAAAATTTAGCATTGTTTCTTCAGCCCAGAGCCACTGAAATCTTTTATGCTACCTTGAAATTTTAAAAAGAGAATCTTTTACAGCTGCAAAATAGTGAAACTTTTAGATTTCCCTCTTTGACGTATAAAGTAAAACATTCCAGAGAAGCCATGAGAACTCTGAAGAGCCAAACTGCCTACTTATTACTTACATCATGATCTTGAGCTAGAAACAATTACTTTGCTGTGCCTCTGTCTCCTCATTTGAAAAACAGGGTCATGATTATACCTACTTCAAAGAATTGCTGTAAGATTCAAACAAATGAACATGTAAAGGGATTGGGGCAGTAGCTGGCACATTTTAAGCACTACATAAATGTTTGCTATTACTGCTTTATTTAGCTCCAAATTCTCATACTGCTTCATATGTGCATACAAGGTTTAGCCAACTAACAATGCCTATGCTTTTGAATATCTTTGATGTTTTCCCATGGTAACTAATATTCATTCAATAAGTACACACAAACCTACTCTCTCTATATATATTATACTGGATACCAAGGCAGTTCTCAAAAATGGGACTGTATAGATAAATACTCCTTGGCCTTGGGGAGCTTCTATTTTGGGTGAGGAAACAAACTATATGAAATACTTCCATAACAATACAACATCAAGTAAGATATTACATGCCAAAGAGTGTGGTATAAACAGGTAACATTCAAAGAGCTCAAGGTGGGCTGCTGACTTGGCAGAAAAGGTAAGGCTGGAGAGGTCCTACAACAAAAGGTATGCAGGACCTTCACTAAAAGGAAGAGTATCCCAGTGTACTATTCTTACCAGAAATATTTAACTCGCATCCTGCATAAGTCAAGCTCTGTTCTAGGGCCTTGGGATAAGGCAATACGAAAGACAGAAAAAAAAAATATCTGCATTCTGGGAGCTTAAAGGGCACTCCATAGGAGAGCCAAGTTTTGCTCTGATTTGTTTTTTCTGGTGCTGGGAATGGCAACAAGAGCTTTACCACAGAGCTACATTCCCAGCCTGAGGCAAGTTTTGAAATGAGAAATGAGAAGGGTTTGTCTTCCTATCACAGGAAACACAGCATCACTTAAATGCCTTGTGGACAGGAGCCCATATTTTTACTAAGTCATTAAGACTTTCCAACAGTGACAAACATAAATGGTTGTTGTTAAGAATTCAGTAATTTTTCACATACTTTAATACACTATACTCTAAATCTGTTCCATTGTTTATAAAGCACACTAAGGACATATTCTCCATATTTCTTAATACAAATAACAAAAGAAATTTACAAACATATATAATTATTACCAGGACAGATTTTGTTAACAGTTCCTAAATTTTTCCCAAAGAAAGCCTCATAATGCTTTGCTTGTATACTTTTCTGCTTTAGAGTATTCCTTACCTCCATTTTTTCCCCTTATTTAACTTCATCTACCAGAGACATGCCCACAAATATCAAAGCTGGGATAGTGCCTATAGTAGCATGTGGTGGCAACAATCCCAAAGGTTAAGGATTCACTCCAAAAGAAAATATGTGCATCTTTTTCTTCTTAAATCAATCCATGGATGACAACTACCCATTCATTCCCTTCCCAAAGATAATGCCTTCAGTAAAGAACCCTGTTAGAAACACTGACTGACAAAGATTTCTCAGTCTTTTCCTCTTTCCAATGATGGACCACTAGAATCTTTTGATAGGAAGTTCCAATATGCTTTAATCACAAATACACACTTCTCCAACTCTCCAAACCTTCCAATAACATCTACTCTCACAATATGCAAACTGTTAGACCCCACTCTCATTCTCAGGATTTTGGAACTGTCATTCCTATAAAAATTATCAAAACTGCTAAAACTATTTAATTAAATCCAATCAAAACCTAATTTCTTAATGCACAAAGTACTAGCCTCAATAGTGAATGTTTAAGATAGTTAAAGGCAAGCTAAAAATCAGGCACATAAATCTTTCACAACTACCTACACTGCAGATTAATCTAAGTCCTAACATTATATGCCAAATGAAATTGTGCAAGACTCTAACAAAGTAATAGCCAGATCACTGTTTCTTTACTTTGGTATTGGAAAATTAGTCTTCAGGCTTCATTATGTCATTTGTTTACTCTTAATTAAGAATGCCACTTAGAAATTAGATATGAAAAGAAGAGGCCATAAAGGCTTTCCTAAAATTTACCTTTTTTCCATGTCAGTGCATAGTCTGTTCATTGGGTAATATTATATAATAGGAACTTGGATTATAAGAGATGTGCTTTGGAAATTACTGAATACCCAAATAAAAGGATTAATTTCAGTCCTATGAATTTTTAAAGCCAATTTTTAAAAACACATTAATTTACTCTGATCCTTTTTATATTGCCAGCACTCTTATTTTACAAAAGTAGATATAAACCTCTCATGTACATATTTCACATATGGACACATTCTAATCAAACTCATGTATTCAAATATTTGGAGCAACCTATGCTTTTGTTTTAAAAAAAATTATCCCTGAGATAAAGCATCTAGACCTCTTGGCTCAGTATGCAACACTGCCTATTATTGTTTCTCATTTTCCAATTTTATAGTCAAACTAAGTGGTTACAAACTAATAAATACTAATATAAATAAAGCTGTTATGCTATTGTACCAAGTAACAGTCTTAATCTTGTCAGAGGCGAGCTTAATTGTAGCAGAAGCTCCACAAAGGCCAGAAGAATATAACCTCTACAACCTCAACATAGTTTTGTACGAATTATAATTAGCAGTCAGCTGATCTGAAGAACTTGCTCAAAAACGACTTCAAGCACGTGGGCAAGTGGCCCTTTATTTTCAAGGCTGCACCAACCACTGAAATCTGATCACTCCAATACTGATTCTGAAATTCTACATGAATTCATTGCCTGTCTCATGTTGGAAAACACGTTTTTCAAGTCACTACACCTTTTTCCCCCTAAATGCAGCAGTCATTTAAGCTAACAATCCTAATCCTGGCCACATCAAGTTTTTCAAACATTCCAACTGTCTCAGGCACGCACCGTTTATTATGATCTGGGTAAAAGGAAAGGTAGTGTGGATAGCACACGCTTCTTCTGAAAGAGTACACGTAAATATTAAAGTAACCCTACGGTCTCTTGGGGAAAAAGAAAACCTCCGAGTGCCCCATCTTAACCTCGGCTCCCTGGACAATGCACCTTGCCCCCTCCCACGCCCAGTCCCGCGGGGCGCCAAGGCTGGCGGAAAGCTGCGCGGAACTCCCGGTGATAACCCGTCCCTGCTACTTCCCGCCCGATTTTAGCGAAGGCGCGGCACAGCACACGACGACCAGATCCACGCGGACGAACAGGCGCGGAGCCCAAACCCACCGCCGAAGGGCCCTAGAGCCGGGCCCGGGGCGCGCGGAGCGAGGGGCACTGAGGGAGGGGCCCGCGGGGCGCGGCGACGCCGCGGGGGTGGGAAGGGCGCTCGGCTCCACTCACGCGCCCGGGGGCGGCACCGGGGCCATCGCTGCGGATCTCGCCTTCAAAAACTGAAAAGGGGAAAGGCTTTAAAAAAAAAAAAAAAAAAGACCTGGCTCCTCGTTTCATCCGGAAACCGACAGGCCGGCAGGAAATGACGAAGGCAGAGGTCGTCCGGGTCCGCTCGGTAACCGGTCCCGCGCGCCCGCCGACTCCGGGGAGGAGAGCCCCGAGCGGAGCAGCGCCGGCCTCGTGCCGCCTCCAGAGCGAGCCGCGTGAGTGGCCCCGCGTCCCCGCGCTCCGGGTCCCGGCGGTAGCGTCACCGGCCCCGCCCTGCCGCGCCGCCCCGCCCCGCCTGGCTGCGGCCGAGGGCAGCATCGCGCCCGCCGGGCTCCGAGCACCTGCCTCGCCCTGCTCGGGCCTGGGCGGAATAGGGGACTCTGATGCTCTGGGTTCCAGGAGCGCAGGCAGGAAAGATGAACAACCAGTCTGTAACGTCTCGTGGGGCGAGACGGCCCGGGGCAGCAGGGGTTTCGCAGGAGTGTTTTGAGATGGAATCTCTCGCAGCCTGCCCGCGAGCGGCGGAAACAGTAAAAAGATCCCGGGACATTCTGGAGGTCCCTGCCGGCGGCCCCCTTCTGGGATAGGATCTTTTTTTTTTTTTTTTTTTTTGAACCCGTGGGACTTGATTTTCTTCCGCGAAGACCAGATCTCCTACGATCCAGGTCGCGGCTGGAAGAGTTCAGGTTTGGGCATCAGATGTGTTTGACAGCCCTATCCAGTGTGGCTTTGTGCAAGTTACATAACCGACCACCGCCACCTGTTACCACCCTAGTTTCCTATTCTGTAAAATGGAGCTTTAGTGCCTCCCTGTAGGGTTCTTGCGAAAATTAAATGTGGACTGCCCAGTACAGAAGGCATCAGATATTAATTATCTTCCTCCTGTAGGGGCGAAGGCCTATAAGCCTGCTTCCTTCTGCTTTCAGAACCCAAATCTTTAGTAAAAGATTTCTACTGTATTTATGCAGTGGATTTTGTTTGTAGAAACTGATTCTAATCTGAATGTCAAGCATTAAAAGAACAAGGTTCTAAGTGAGAAACAAAAATTATAACATTCTAGGCAGAATAAGTGAGGGTAGAACAACCTGGATATTGTATATGTCCAAAGTAAGGACTCTAATTTTAAAATTTATGGTACAATCACTTGATCCCCAGAAAAGGTCTCAACGTTAAAACCAAGTCCTAGTTGTCATGTTTTGGGCAGCTTTATCTGGATATGCTTGTTTCCCTGGGACTTAATTCAGCTCTTCCTACTGAAATAGTTCAACCATTACATCACGGGATAAATGTGAAAAAAAGGTCAGTTTTCTCAAAAGAGCCCTGAATGGCACTCTAGGCACATGACAAGCTATGTTGGTAATCTAGCCCAAACATTAACTTACCAGGAATGAACCATTGAAATACCCCTAGGCATTTTACTTCAGATTCAGAGGAAGGCTGTGGTAGCATGCATTAATCACTCACAGGTGTATGTGTGTACACTTGGTCAGACTGAGCACGGTATGCTGGGAGGGGATGATCAAAGTTCAGACCACATGTGGGCCTTGGGTCTGTACTATGACTCTGAACTAGACCATTTCTTATTCCTGGCAGTCTTACAAAGCATACCATTGGTTATGATTGAGGACTGGGCAGGAAAGTCCTACCCTCAGTGCAAATCTTTCACAACTACACTAAAAATAACTCAAGTGCATGTCCCTGGAACCATGGAATAGTGTCATTGCATACCAATGATGTTGTACAATATGTGTTTTATAGTTCACAATAAAGTTTTACCATTCTGGGCCAGCAGTAATTAGAAATAGTCTTCTAAATATAATTAAGGGATTGCATATTTATAGCAAGAGGAAATCAAGCTTTGGGTAACAATATACCACTTACTGAGGGGCACAGGAACAGAATTTTGTAAAAGTTGAAACAAGAAATTAACCTGGTTTATTCAGGCATTAGAAAATAGGTAGGAGATACTCTCTCAGTTTGTCAGATAAAGAGCACCTGCAAAATGTCCTAGTAGCCACTGCTCTATTGTTCCCTGTTTTTCCCCCAGTTTGTTAATATCTTCCAATCCTGAAAGTTACCACCCTTGCTGAATAACTGTTTGGCCCTTCTGTGACCTCTCAAATCAGATACTTAAACTCATTTCTTTTTGCCTAACATGGTCATTGTTGTTATTTAAACATTTTGGCACCAACAATGGTTGAGATTCCATAAATTACAAAAACAATTATAGCATCTGGTCTTCCAGAAGTCTCCATCTCTAAAGTAGGCCAGTTACTTACTATAAATCATGTTAAATTCAAAGAACTTCTGGAGTTCAGTTTAGAGAATAAGAATTAAAAATGAGAATATGCCAGTACCCCTATATCATCCACTTTCAAAAACAAATGAAAAGTTCATACTCATTAACATCTAGGAATTGTGTATAATCTAAAGTTTAATACCTATAAATTTGTTTAACATAAGTTCTGTTTATATTGTTCAATAGCTAATTTTCACAAAACGAATTGAATGTTCATCAGACATCAGTAGATGTTTTAGAGAAATTACTTTGGCCCTCATTGTTGGGAGTTTAAATTAAATGACTTCATGAAATCCACTTTATTCTCAATGAATTACAGTATATCCCCAAACATCTGACAAAGGGTCAGAAGGGAGAAAACATGTCACCTATTTAAGAAGCAGACCTCTTCTGAAGTTTCATTCATTTTATATAGAAGCAAGAGAGAAGAAAGAAAACCAACTGTGCCCTCAGTACATAGTTATTCATTTTACTGAACCAAATATAGATTAATGAACATTTGGGTGACTTACAGGGTGGAAGAATTTCTGCAATGCCTTCATTGTTGTAGGCAGCCTCAAAAAAAAAAAAATTGCAAAACAATTTGGACATTCCAGATACTCTTTTTCTTGGTATTAAAAAATGGCTGGCTGTCTTATTCTTAGAAACTACAGTACAGTTATCACCTCTCATTTGTTCTGTTTTTCTCCTTTTTATAGAGTGGCCAAAACAACACTTCTCGATTCCTTTCACATATTAGATCATTTTACTTAAATCCAACACAAGGGAGAAATATCCTCTTTAAGAAAAATTCAGTTAACTTCCCACATATAAGAAACCATTACTCTTTTACTTGAGATGTGATACACTTTCAATTACCACTCTTATTTTGTGTGGGAATGTCCAAAGAATGCATTTCCTTCAAAAGAAGTCACAGCTGTATAAATAGCAAAAAGTAACTTTTTATCCCATAGCTTCTTTAAGCCAAACTGGGCCTGAAGGACAAAAGTAGATAAACTCCAAACTTGCATTTTGGGACACATGTGGAAGAGCACTTTTCCTAGGCTGTTGTCAGGAGTGGGACAGCTCAGCATCGTAAGTGGGTTACTTGGCACTGTGTTTTAAAGTATTCTGTTGCTTTCATGTGGATGATGGTTACAATTTGGAAACTGTAATGACGTTTCAACTTCCATCCTTTTAGTAATTTTTTTTTTTTTTTTAGTACTGGGATGAACCTATTGGTTCTCTATCACTGAGCTAATCCTTTGCCCTCTTTATTTTATTTATTTATTTATTTATTTTTATTTTGGTACAGGGACTTGCTCAATTGCTCCGGCTGGCCTTGAACTTGCTGTCCTCCTGCATCAGCCTCCCAAGTCACTAGGATTATAGGTAAGTGCCCCATGCCCAGCCACTTAGTAACAGGTTTTATCCTGCATTGTACCCTTTAGGTAGCAGCTGTAATGTTTCAAAATCAAGTAAGGAGAAATGTATTAGTTGCCTTAATCATCTAGTCAGGGAGTCAATAGACTTTTCCTTAAAGAGCCAGACCAAAAATATTTAGGCTTGTGGACTGTAAGACAAATTGAGGATAGTATATAGGTACTTGTAATCATTTAAAGTGTATCCATTTAGGGATGGGGCATACATTGCTTGGTGGCAGACAGTGTTCTTAGTATGTTTTGGTTTGATTCCTGACTTAGTATGGGTTTGATTCCTGACTCAAAAAATAAAAATAAATAAGTAATATATAGTAGAATTGTAAACTCATTCTTGTCTTGAGGGTTATACAAAAACAGATGATGGACTGGATTTAACCAGCAGGTCCTATGGACACCAACCCTATTTTCTTTTCTCTTTTATAGCCCCATGGCTGGAAGTTACGGAGTGATGGGTGATGATGGTTCTATTGATTACACTGTTCATGAAGCCTGGAATGAAGCCACCAATGTTTACTTGATAGTGATCCTTGTTAGCTTTGGTCTCTTCATGTATGCCAAGAGGTAAATCTGTTAGCATCTCAAAACAAATAAGAAACTGGACATTTGAAGATTTTGCAGGATTTTTGTTTTAAAAATTTGAATTGAATACATAAAAATAATTTCATCAGAATTTGTATTCCTCCTCTGACATATGCTGTTGATTCTCTGGTCACAAGCATAGGTGACTGAGGTATTGCTTTAAAAACCCCATTGCTTTAAGAGGTGAAGATTTAAGTACAGCTCTTGACATCCAAGTCAGCTACTCTAGACTTTCATTTCTGTCACTTCTACTGTTGCCTAATTTTCATCATGAGCCTGGGTTCTTTGTCACTCTTTAATGAGCACATTTTTTGGCCCAAGTCCCTGAAATATAGAAACTGCTATGTATTCAGTAGATCTCTCTTTGCCCAGTTAAAGCTTTTCCTTGTTTCTTGTGCATGATACTCTCATGGCATTTTAAACAATATTTGTCTTGTCTGGTTACTGATCTCTTCATTTCACAAAAACTTCAGTCCCTCAGAACAAGGTACTTGTTTTTTACCTTTGGATCTTTTACCTTTATGTGTCACATAGTGTAAATCCTCAATAAATATTTCCTGCCTTAATTCCAGATGTCATAGCCTAATATAGCTGTCTTCTTTTATACTCCTTGGTGCTTTTTCCCTTAGAAGAGTAAAAATAAATAAACAAGGAGGAGGTTGGATTTAAGGAGGAAAAGCTGGGCTGTAGATATAGTTCAGTGGTAGAGTGCTTGCCTAGTGTACATAGGCCTTGTTCTCAATCTTCTGCACCTAAAAACAAAAACAAAAAACAAAAAACAAAAGGAAAGGCAGTATTAATTCTGAGTAGTATCTCCTTCTACCCACATGCTTCTGGTGTCCTCTACCAAGATAAAAAACAGAAGCCATTAAATAGTTCAAAATAATTAGTATTCCAGAGATTATTTATTTTTGGCCTGGGGATGGTTCAGAGCCCACACTTGCTCTCAGATACATATGCTTATCCTTCCTGGCCATGTGGCTCTCCTGGAGCAGCTGGACTGTTGGCTGCTGGGACTGCAGGTGGTGGGTGGGAGAAGGCTCCACATGTCACCACTGATCTACTTGTAGGTAATAGTTTCCTCTAAAAAGAGCCATCACCTCCTCCCCACTTTTCTTTTAAAATCAGAGGCATACTGTTCCTGTTTTTAAAAAGTTGTCCTCACTAAGGCCATGTTATTATATTTAAGAAATATTTCAATTCATAATTTCACAACTTAAGTTCTGCTCACATTCAGTGTATTCTCCAATCCAGTAGTTCAACTTCATTTGGATGACATGAGAGGGAGAAAAATAAGGTGTTTTTTGTTGGTAGATTTTTTTTTCACATAATATTTGGCTTTTTTAGGAATTGAGAATCACAATGGAGGCAATTTACTTTGTATAGTAAATGAATGTTTTTAGCATTTCTTTTCTCTTATAGCCACATAGCTGTACATGTACAGCTACAAGCTTTTTAATGAAAGAAAGAGTACATGAGCCAAAGAATCATATCCTAAAGACAAATTAGAATAGCATGGACTTATCCTTTAAGTCTTTTAATGCGGCATCTAATTACCAGGATCATGAGAATATTACAATCCTATAGACACTCGTACAAATCTCTTTTCTGCGCTGTTTTTGTATTTTAGGAATAAAAGGAAAATTATGAGGATATTCAGCGTGCCACCTACTGAAGAAACGTCAGAGCCCAACTTTTATGACACAATGAGCAAAATTCGCTTAAGACAACAGCTGGAAATGTATTCCATTTGTAAGTAGTTCTGTGTTGAACTGTATCCGCATGCATATTTAAATTTTCTGGAATTGAGTCCAAGGTTATGAACAATAGTTAGTATTAAAAACTTAGCACTTTTTTTCAGATGTTTAACATAGTTTCAGAAAAGGGACATTTTCTATGAAGCTACCAGACCTTTTGCTTGCACAGAGCACTTTCCAAGACCATGAGAATTGTCTTAGGGATGTTTTCACATGATCATATTTTTATAAATTTGGGGAAAAAAATTAAGATTCTAGCCATCATTTGAGCCTGCTCTCTCTTCTTCTAACTTTTTTTCCTTGGACTTCCTTTCATATGGAGTGGCATTGAAGTGGCCAAGAATATTTTGGGGATCTGGCTAAAAGGAATTTGAGTTGGAGATATATTAAGTTTGGTTTGAAGTATGTATTTATAGAGTTTGTAGTCACTTATATTATAATTACTGCAAGTCAAAGTAGTAAAGAGATGGCTTCTAGGAGGATGACATGTGACATCAGAGTGTTAGGTCAGGGGGTCATATCTCAAAGTTAATATGTCCTATATTACTGAGCACTGCAAATATGTAAGCAGCAGAGAATAACAAAGTTTAAAATGTATGGGCCCTTGAGCTGGGCATGGTGGTGCATGCCCATAATCCCAGCTACTAAGGAGGATCACAAGTTTGAGGTCAGCCTAGGCAACTTAGTGGGACCCTATCTCAAAAAAGAAAAAAATGTATTGGTCCAGAGTGAATTGTACATGTAAACCATAACCTTTTATGCCTCCATTTAAAAGAATAAGGTATGATTTGCATGGTTAGTGAGAAAAGCAAGAAGTATATGATGCTACAGTTATAAAATCAAATGATCAGAACAGCCTTCTTTTTTAAAATGTCCATGTGATATAAATGCTCTGTATAATTATGTAAGCATCAAGGGAGACATGGAAAGATGTACAACAGGTAATTGACATTTATTGCTTTGATGAGAGCTGTGTAGGGGTTAAGGAAAAAGGACTGGACAATTTTGAAGAGAAATGTTCACAGTAAAAACTGAAATGTGTGTGCACATGTGTTATCAGTACAAAATAAGAAACAAAACTTAATTTAACACAGCAGTATTATTCATAATAGCCAAAAGGTGGAAACAACTCAGATGTCCTTATCAGATGAGTAGAAAAGAAGAATATGCTACATATACACAATAGAATGTTGTTATGCTTTTAAAAGGAAGGCAGTTCTGACCCATGCTACAATATGGATGAAGCTTGAAGATGTTATGCTAAGTAAAATAAGCCAGTCACAAAAAGGACAGACACTATGTTCACTTACATGAGGAAAATAAAAAAAAAAAAAGTAGAAAGGTGGTTGCCAGGGTGTGTAGAGAGCTTTTTTAAATGGGTGCAGAACTCAGTTTAGAATGATGAAGAGTTCTATGGATGGATGGTGGTGATGTTTGCACAACAGCATGAATGTTAATGCCACTGAATTGTGCATCTAAAAATGTTTAAAATATCAAATTTTATATATATATTTTAAAGAAATCCTTTTAAAAATATTTTTTAAAATATAGAAAGTCAGAAGCTCTATGTAGAAAATTATAAGTAAAGAACTAAGTTTTCACTGATACTCAAAACAAGTTCTCTTGCGAGTAGTATACTGTAACATAGCAGGTACAATTATAAGCTCACTGTACCATTTTTTTTTCTTTTTTGATGTGAATGACATAAAATTTATGAGAATTCCTATTTGCAGAATATATTAGTTTTCTTTTGCTGCTGTAGCAAGTTACCACAAAATTAGTGATTTAAAATGATACAAATGCATTATCTATCAGTTTTGTAGGTTAGAAGTCATACAACAGTCTTGCTGGGCTGAAAGGAAAGTGTAGGCAGGTTTCCATTTTCCTGGAGGATCTAAGGGAAAATCTGTTGCCTAGCCCTTTCCAGCTCCTAAAGACTGCCTACATTCCTTGGTCGATGGCCCCATTCCTTCATTTTATAAGCCAAACACATTGCATCTGTCTGACTGTTCTTCCACACTTACATTTCCCTCTGTGAATCCAGGAAAGGTTTTCTGATTCTAAGGGCCCATGTGATTATCTGGGCCCAATAATCCAGGTTAATCTCCCCATCACCTCAGTTACATCTTCAAAGTCTCTTTTGTAACATAGTCACAGATTATGGGGATTAGAATGTGGATATTTTGGGGTGGCATTATTCAAGAATATATATGGTGTGGATTTGCATATTTAAGAATCCCAACATAATCATAATGGATCATTCTTATATTGATAACTTATGTTATCAGTCTTAGGCTTCTAAGTTAATGTATTCAAATTTCTTATAGTGCAGACAAAAGCATTATTATTAACTTAAGGTGGAAATAAAGGATAAGAAAGGAAATTGCAAATCATTAATAGCTTAATAAATATTTACCCTATATTTTAAAGATCTGAATAATCCTGATATGTAATAATAATAAACGTAAAAGTGGATTGAGCAATGTTGAGAATTCAGAAGATCAGAATGTGTAATGTTTCCTCTAAAGAATAAAAGTGCCTAATTCTTAACTGTTTTTTTTTTTTAACTGAGACTCATTACAACAATTTAATGATGTTAGGTAGTAATTATTTTGCATTTTTATTAATTTATCTTTTTCTTTTTTTAATAGCAAGGAAGTATGATCACCAGCAGCCACAAAACCAAACTGACAGTGTGCAGCTCTCATTGGAATGAGATCTCAGAAAACAAGCAACAGAAGTAATTGTTATTAAACAGTATAGTAGCAACTTCTGATTCTTTCCGCTAAATCATAAATAGCATTTTAAAAAATTTCTGTCTGTATATACAAAATCATTTTATTTGTGATTTTTTCCCATCTTTTTTGCATTGTTTAGCTTTTTAAAATTGCTTCTCGTAGTCATTTGGTACACATTCATAGGACTCAAAAGGCCTGAACACACAGAGCCTATAAATACCCAGAAAGATACAGTTAACCAGAGATGGGGACTTTACCTTGCAGGGAATCTTTGATTTTTTTCAGGATACAGTCAGTGAGAAATAAATCTTTGGAAGTTAAATTTCTGGAGATTATGCCACCTTCATTATGATATTTTTCCAAAATAAAAAATCTAGTCAGTAGAATAAGTTCCTTTAAGATTTTCTAATTTAAGTGTAATATCAGTAATAGACTAACTTGTGTTCTCATTACTGTTAATGACTCTAATTAGAGATCTTTGCTTCTTCAGAACTTGTACACCTAGACCATCTTTTCTATTATGATGCATACCCATCCACTAATTTTAGAAATTTTTCATAACTGAATTTTACCCCTTAATTGTGTTCCAGGAGTTTTTGTTTGTTTGTTTAGTTGTTGTTTTGGTTTGGAACATCATGGGCTTTCTTTAGGCCCTACTGGGGTCGTCTGTTGGAAAAATGGATACCTCTACATGGGTATTGGAAACTTCCTTTTCAGTCATATCATTACCACTTGTAGTGTTACTCTCTGGTTTCTTTGGCTTTTTTAGCATAATAACCTTTTCTGAAGATCCTCCTCTCTTGTTCCATTTTATACTATAGAATGAAATGTTTTTACCTAATTTTTCATATTTATTTAAATAAAACTTGTTGGAAATAGTGGTAGGGAAGTTCAACTGTTCAATTCTTACTCAAAGAATCAGTTTTGAATTAAAGCTATTCTTAATTTTAAGAGCTAATAGTAACTTCAATTTTTATTTCCTTTTTATTGTGAAATTAAAGAATATAAGTTTAATATGAAAATTAAAGTTTAGACAAAATAAAACTAGGGTTATTGCATTTACTTTTAAATTTTGATTATATCATTCAAAAATGTATATATTGTACATAGTGCATTTTTGACCAAATGGAATAATTCTTTCTTAATTCACAAAAGAATCTGGATGTACCCCTATATAGAGAATTAAAAGGTGACTCAAGGATTATAAATGGTTTTAAATATGGGCTGGGGTAGCAGACAGGCAAAGGGACAATCTTAATTTTTGCTTTGCCTTGGGATAACCCCTGTTTGTTTTCATGAGCAGAGAATTTAGTCTGGGGAACAATCTAGGCAGATTACAGAATTAAGAATTTAATTGTGGCACAATCTGAGCAAATCATAAAAACTGGCTATCTCAGATGGTTTATAAATTAATGTCTACAAATAAATATAAATGTAAATCACACAATGAAATCAGTTGTTTTATTTGTGTCCAGTAGATACAGTCAAAAACTGGTAGATTGTTGAGCATCAAACCTTGGCAAGTGACAGAGGATGAAATTCCTCCTCATTTTTTCCTTATAGCTAAGTGATGGGAATTGCACACACCCCACTGGCAGAAACAACAGCAAGTTGAGCTTTGAAGTTTCTTCCCTGCTTCAACAGCTGGGCTGGGAAAGGGTGGAAGCCCTGCAGCCACACTTCAAAGTAACACCAGCTGATTGCCCTGCTTCTGCCCTGCATCTACGGAGGATCCCATGGAACTATTTTTTTTTGGAAGAAAAATGGGATGACTAACAAACTAGTAACGAACACTTATGCTCTCCTTTTTCTTGTTTCTTCTTCTTTTTCTAATGCATTGGATATTTAGCAGTAAGCATTGGTCAGCCTCTATTGGTGCACAGCTTGAGTGTGTTAAATAACTGGATGTTTAGTTGATGCCAGCCAGCTGCACTAAGGGAAGAAATTAGCTTCCAAAGGGCACAGATGTTTGCTATTGGCCTCACACTGTGTTGTTAGGTTGAGTTATTTATATGATTCACCAGAAAATCAAACGCAGGATTTATGGTAAAATTGTAATGTCCAAAATATTTTTAAGTATTCAATAGAAATGAGATAAAGTAGTAGTAATAAAAATGAGTTTCAGATATTAAGATGATATAAGAATAAATTTAACCTGGAAAATATAATTAAGGAGTGGAAGAGACAAAAGAATATTGTATGGAACCAACTAATTCATTCAACCAGTGGTTATAGGGTTTATAGACAGGGTGTTGGTAATATACCATTCTCTCCTATTGTATATTCTATTTCAATAGCAGAAGTAGAATGCAAATATATGCCAGAAATCTATATGGAAAGAAGGTGGGCATTTGGCTTACCTCCAACCTATATGCAAAATAGGATCATAAAATAGGGACTTATGCTTAGTTTACTCCCCAATAAAGCCAGAGTCAAACTTAGACAAAACTGTAAAGCAGGAAACATTTCCCAGCCCTTCCCATTTGTCCCTCTTCATCCTTGTATAAACCTATGTGGGTAAGATAGATCTTGTACGAGAATTTAAGAGTGGTGAAGGAATTAAGCTGAGAACTAAGATTGGGTAGAACTCCACAGACTCCTGTAGCAGATGTGGAAACTTTCCTTGATTTCCTAACCCCAGTGAAAAGAGTGGTGTTTAGCATTGGATTCTGTTATAACACATACCCTACATTTACTTTAATAATAGTAATAGTTTTTGAAAAACTATGTATGTAATGATGGTGGAATGTGATGATCATTATTATCCAAAGTACAGGTATGAAAACACGAATTGGTATGAATATACTATGTATGCAACCAGAGATAGGAAAAATTGTGCTATATATGTGTAGTAAGAACTGTAATGCATTCCTCTGTCATATATAAATTTAAGAAAAAACTATGTAGGTTAGAAATATTCCACCTTCTATGCTTCTATGTAGGAAGATAAGAGAGGCCACACACTGGCTAGGCTTATAGGTCCAGCCCCAATTTTTATATTGAAAGAGCACTTTATTTTTCACCTTTTAGGTTTGAGATGCATACGGACATACAAACATATTTACTTATGTCTTTGCACTGGGGATTTGGTGCTGGGGATTGATTGTTGGGTCTTGTGCATACTAAGTACGAGCTCTATCACTGAGCCACATCCCCAGTCCTATGGGTCTTGTGCATACTAAGTAGGAGCTCTATCACTGAGCCACATCCCCAGTCCTATGAAAATACATTTTGACAAATTTCAGACTAGCTGAAGAAAGTTGGGGATTTTAAACTGCAACTAGTTTGATGTTGTTAAACTTAACTTTCAGAATAAGAAATCTGAATTTCTTGAAAAAAATACTCTATATAAACGTATTTATGAGAGAACAAGTAAGTGGATGTTTTGTTATTTTTGTTGTTTTTTGGCTGGGGAGAGGGGTTACATATATCTCTTAGTAACACTTTTATTTTGAGGTTTAAAAATCAGGGCTAGGGGTTGCAGCTCAGTGGAAGAGCACTTTCCTGGCATGCACAAGGCCATTGTTTCAATTCCCAATGCTGCAAAAATAAATTAATTAAAATTCCCCCCCCCCAAAAAAATCAGGCCCATTCATAGGTGACTACAATTTAATATAATTCTTATATCTGAAAGGATTTCTACCACCTGATGTTAACATGTTATCTAGCCCAAAATAAATGCTTAGTAAATACTTGTTGAATTAACTAGTTAATTTACTTGAAAGAATTTGTAGAATTTATATTTTGTGTGTGTGTTTTTAAGAAATGTTTGTAGGTTGCTGTTTCTGTCAATGGCAGAGTAATTTTGTCAGGCTAACTCCTATAGAGTTCAGAACAAAATGTTTTAAAAACAACCCTTTGAAGGTAACAATAGGCAGATAAACCAGAAGGCAGTTGACCCTTGAAAGAAGGGGACTGTATTTGTCTGTACATGTCTTGAAGACATTTCCAGTGCACAGTTCAGGAGTATGCTAGAACTGAAGATGGAAGCTACCATCCTCCTGTTTTGAGGAATATGAGGACAGAGTTCAAGGCTTCTGAAGAGACTACAAAGTGAGGTGGACATTACAAAAAAAGTGAACCATAGAAAGAGAACTTCCAGGGCCACGTGTTGGTGTCATACACCGGTAATCCCAGTGGCTCAGGAGGCTGAGGAAGGAGGATTCCAAGTTTGAGGACAGCCTCAACAACTAAGTAAGGTCCTAAGCAACTTATCAAGACTCTGTCTCAAAATAAAAAATAAAAAGGGGTTGGGGATGTGGCTCCATGGTTAAGCACCCTGAGTTCAATCTCTAGTACCGAAAAGAAAAAAGAAAGAAAGAGGACTTTGGCTAGTCTCAGAGTGATACATCTAGTGTTGCCGAGTCCTTGGCTAGTCCCTGAGTGATACATCTAGCTGGGAGACTCCGGAGTCTGGCAGAAAGCAAATAGCTAAATGACTGAAAGAACTGAGCAGTTTCCAGCCACTGCCCATCTTAGGAATTACAGTTTGATTCCTGCCAAATGAGTTCCCAGCTAGAACAAAAAATACACTTTCCAGGGGAAGGAAATAGAACCTAGAGACACCATATTGTTTACGATGTCCACAATAAGAAATTATAAGAATGGGAAGAACAAGAAAACAAGACCAGAGTTTTAAAAAAATAAATTAGAAAAAATGGTCAATATAAACTGACTTTTCAAAATGACTCAGACATTGAAGTCATAGACATAGACTTTGCAGCTACTACAAATATGTTTAGTTAGGTTAAATACTTTCAGATAAATTACAATTGAAAGGATTTTTCAGCAGCAGATCTGCTACACAGAACTGCAAAAGGAATCTGTTTGGTCTAAAGAAAAATGACAGCAGATGGAAACACAATCTAAGCAAACTATAGGCATATGGGACCATACGGGACAAGACTGATGGAATAAGAGAGTCTTTTTTTTTTAAACTAAATAGGGATAAAAATCATATAGGAGTTTCTTACACTACTATAACTTTTCTATAAGCTTGAAATTATTTTTTAAAAGTCATAGAAATAAAGAACTTATAAATAAATTTCTTAGTAAATCAGGTTTTATTTTTCATATCATACCAATCATCACCAAAACTGAAAAACTGCCAAGGTATCTATATTAGTACATTTTCTGTTGCTATAACAAACTACCTATGGCTTGGAACTTTATAAAGAAAATAAAGGTATATTTAGCTTATAGTTTCAGAGGCTGAAAGTCAAAGATAGGGCCATCCTATCAATTCAGCCAGTGGTAAGGATTCCTTGGGTACATCATGTCATGCAAAGAAAAGAGAAGAGTAGGATTTTGCTTGGTGTGTGTGTGTGTGTGTGTGTGTGTGTGTGAGAGAGAGAGAGAGAGAGAGAGAGAGAGAGAGAGAGAGAGAGAGAGAGAGAGACTGGGGTTTGATCCCAGGGCTGTGAGCATGATAGGTAAACACCCTACCACTGAACTATATCCCCACCCTTGAAAAGACTAATTCTATAGGCCATACATAGTCAAGTCTATTGTCTCACCTCTGCAAGACAGGAATATAGATGGGTGTTTAAAACAAAAACAAACCAAAAGAACACCATAACTGATCAACTTCCCTTTGTCTGGTGTTCAGGTTTTCCTTACTCATCTGTGTACCTTGAATACAGTAGGTGTTCAACAAGTAATTAAATCAGATTGAATCTATTGTTATTTATGTTATCCCAGAAAGCAGTCAGGCCTATGAAATACCTTCATTCTCAGTTTAAAAATTTTTTTTTTCAACCAAAAAAGAACAGCAGTGATTTTACCATTCTTGTTGCTCTCTGCTAACCATCCAGTATACTTTGAAAATGGTTAAAGCCCAATAATACATTATTCTCCAAAAAGCAAAAGAGGGAGGATGGGGTTTTCCCAAAAAATATTTCAGAACACAATGTACCATGCATTTTTAAGGAGTTATAAATTTGTAAAAATGTGTAATTAGGCTGGAAGTGGTAAATGGTTTACCTAGCATATGTGAGCCCTGGGTTCAATCCCCAGCACTATGCACATGGGTGATCTCTCGCTCTTACACACACACACACACACATTTTTAAAATGTTCTTTAAAAACTTTTTAGCAATGTTACAGAAAAATAAAAAAGCAAACAGAGTGAGTTATAATATTTGCCTTTCCAAATCAGTTTATACTACTATTTTAATTGATTTTCAAGATCTAAGGTCTTAAAACCAATGATAATGGCCAGCAGACTCAAAGTTATTTGAATTTCAAAAAGAAGGAACTAAAAGAGATGGCAGGGGCCTGACATGGTGGTGAATGCCTGTAATCCTAGCAACTCCAGAGGCTGAGGCAAGAGAATTTTTTGTCTTTAAGGCCAGCCCCAGTGAGGCCCTATCTCAAAAAATAAAAAGCACCAGGAAGGACTGGGAAGTAGCTCAGTGGTAGAGTGTCCTTGAGATCAATCCCCAGGACTAAATAAATAAATAATTTAAAAAAGATTTTATAAAAAGATTGCAGGTACTATACATACTTGTTAACTGGTATTTGGGCAATCTTGAGTGGACCAATCACAATTTTTAATTTTTATTTTTTTGGTGGAGGGGTAGGGTACCAGGGATTGAATCCAGGGTCACTTAACCACTGAGCCACATCCCCAGCCCTTTTATTTTTTATTTTGAGACAGGGTCTCACAAAGTTGCTGAGACTGGCTTTGACTTTGCAAAAGAGCCAATCACATTTTTAAGAGTAGTCATGGTCAGCTGGGGTGTGGTATCATGGGCCAGTGACTCATGAGGCTAAGGCAGGAGGATCCAAAGTTCGAGGCCAGCCTGAGCAATTTAGCAAGACCTTGTCTAACAATTAAAAAAGAAAAAGGAGCTGGATGTGGTGGCATGTACCTGTAATCCTAGTGACTCAGGAGTCTGAGGCAGGAGGATTGCAAGTTCAAGGCCAGCCTCAGCAAATAACAAATCCCTAAGCAACTTGGTGAGAACCTGTCTCAAAATAAAATAATAATAATAATAAAAAGGGTTGGGGATGTGGGTAAGTGCCCCGGGGTTCAATCCCTGGTACCAAAAAGGAAAAAAAAGAAAAAAAGGAACTGTGAATGTAGCTCAGGGATAGAGCACCCCTGGGTTCTATACCCTGTACCACAAAAATTAATGAGTTGTAGTAGTAGTCATGATGCAGGGTATTGTTTTTTTTCAAATTAATGTTCTCCACTGTTATATTCAGATTCAGCAAATGACCACATCACTCCAAGTATTGTGACATCTCATTTTGAATTTATTTCCACATTTATAAATTTCCACATTTATAGTTCTTAGGTGAAGACCAATATGCTATTGTCTAGTACCACAGTAAAACATCCATCCATCAAACTTTGTATATTGGAAGCTAACTACTACTGAGCAAATATGTCAACTGTCCAAAATACTGGAAATTCACTAGTCTTGCTAATTGCAGAAAAACTTTATGCAGCCTTTTTGGGCTGTCAAGACTTTTAGTAGCAAATCTCTTTGAGAAAGGAGTCTCTTTTCTTTCCTGAGACTTTTGATCATCAGACTTTGCTCTCTCTTTTCATCTTAAAGACCTGTGATGTTTTCCACAGAGGTCTGGAGATTGGGTTTTAGAAATGCTAGTTCCAAGAACAGATTTTCATTTATCTACAAATTATAAATAAATAAGAGTGGTTGGAAACTAAATTACTTGAAATTTGCATTTAATTACAGGCCAGCTTCACTTAAGGTTCTGGATGTTTTGGATCACTTCTTAGATGCCTTATTTAATGGCCCGTGGTCCCATTGCCACAGTGAAATAGAATTAATAACAAGTATTCTATGCTGACTTAATACTTGACAAACATATCATTCTTTGTTAAAAAAAATATCCTGGCAAATCTAGCAGGTTTCAAAAGGATTCTAATTTTTTAGAAATACAAGTCCTTAATTATAGCTGTAGAGAAATTTGAGATGAACATATTAACCAACACATGACAAATATAGACACTGTACTGTCCTGCTGGCTAACAGCTTTGACTGAAGCCTGACATTTTCTTTTTCAAGCTGTTTCAGAGTAAAATTAACTTGAAATACTTCTGAATGGAAGGAAGTCATTTCATAGTCCAAATTATCTTTTTTCCTTTTGAATTCTATTAGAACTTGTCATTACAGGCCAATCGAAAGGATCTAGTACATATTTTTTTCTAAAACTTGAAATAAAATTTGAATTTAGTTTATATTAAATTGCATCTAATATAATCAAAGGGGACTTTGTCTATATGGTAGGACATATATAGAAAATACCAATATAGACTTTCTGTATATGGTAGGACAATTTTGAAAACACCAGTGTAGACAATAAACTGAACAAAAATATAATTAAAAGAACAGAATTGGAAACCTGAATTCCAAGCTGTTTAAATTGATACCTAATCTGTTTGCATTTAACCACATCATTAACCTCACTTTGTTTATTCCTTAATAGGACTAAGATTGCCTTTACCCCAGGGATGTTCAGATTCTAAACTATATGCAATTTGAGATCCTTGGAAGACAAGTAAAGATCTGTGGTGATGTTGTTATTGTTCAGTATTCTTTTAATATATTACTGAATTATACGCTTAAGAGTTTGAAAGAACAAATTGGGTGTTGATAGAGTCTCTAATCCCCCCAGCTACTAGATTATTTGTTCTTTCACTTTCTCTGTAGTCCCAGGAAAAGCCACT